TCAAGCCGACCCTTGAGCTGAGGACTGAATGCAGGTCTCCCACATGGGTGGTGTGAACCCAGTTACTTGGGCCATCACTGGGGCTTCCCTGGGGCTTCCCCGGGTCTGCATTAACAGGAAGCTGGAATCCTAAGCCAGAGCAGGGGATTGAACCCAGGTGCTCTAATGTGGAACACAGGTATCTTAACCATTAGGCTAAATGGCCATCCCAACTTATCTTTTAATGCTGTGTTTCCATGAACTTTTTGAAAATCTGAGGTCTTATTTTTTGCCAGTGATAAGTGTTTTAGATTCAGTGACTTATGTAATCCTCATATCACTGAGTTTAGGTAGAGTGCTCTCATTTTACATTTTAAGGAAACAGAGGCTCTGAAAGTCGACATAGTTAGTAAGAGCCCAAAGTGGACTCAAACCCAGGTCCTTATCACTCAGAATCTTATAAGAGATTACCACTCTAATGTATTACCTATCGTGCCAGATGTCATTCATTTGCATTTTCATGCCAGTTAGGCTGTAGACTCACTAAAAGAGAATTCTGCTCATGTTATGAAATTCCCCACAGTTCACGAGAATCAAAAGTTAGGCCAACCCAAATTCTGCCCTGTTAATATTTGTTCCCTTAGCTTCTGCTTACTGGGTACCCATTGTGGTGGGGGTCTCAGTTAAAACAAAAGGATGAGCAGGAGACAGTTGAATCCCACTGTTTTAAAGTAAAGAAGAAAATATCATACAATCAGAATCAAACTCCTGCGTAAGAAACGGTGGCAGACACACGGCAGCAGTCAGGGCTCAGACTTGGGTGACACGGCTGGGAAAGTGAGCTGCGTGGCAGGTAGCAGACTCGCTCACGGTGGCTAACGTGGTGTGAGATGCTGACTCTCCTCTGCCTTGTCCCAGTGGGGTGTGTGAAACTGCCTTGAGGCAGGCTGTATTTTTTTTAACAGGCTCTTACAGACCTTCTTTTGGTACATGGTTCAGTGCCTGTCCTGGTTTTTGTCACACTCTAATGCTGCTTTAGTTGGTGAGGTGGCCTCTCCATCAGCCATCTCATTCACCTTAGTTATGCCTGAGAGCGGCACTAAGCCAATGCCTTCAAAGAATATACTGAATATGCAAAGAACATACATGTAGTACTCCCTAAGCAATAACTTACAATTACAGTTTCCTGTAACTTTCTCGGATTGCTTATAGGAATTTACATCAAAGGTAAGAAATCACCAATCCCAGAACTTAATTACATCTACCCCAAGGACCAAAAGATGCTGGGAATTACAAGTATTTCAAAGTTTGTGGAAAAATGGAATTAAAAGATAAGTTTATTTTGTTGTGAAAATTTTTCTTCTTTTAAAATTAAGATTTATTTGAGGGGATGTTAATTCTCTGACCGTAGCACCAGCATCCCATATGGACGCCATTTCTAGTCCCGGCTGCTCCTCTTCCAGTCCAGCTCTCTGCTATGGCCTGGAAAAGCAGCGGAAGATGTCACATGTGCTTGGGCCCCTGCACCCACATGGGAGACTGGGAAGAGGCTCCTGGCTCCTGGCTTCAGATCGGCTCAGCTCCAGCCATTGCGGCCATTTGGGGAGTGAACCAGTGGATGGAAGACCTTTCTCTCTGTCTCTCCTTCTCACTGTCTGTAACTCTACCTCTTAAATAAATAAATAAAATCTTTTTAAAAATTTATTTGAAAGGCAGGATTATATGTATGAGAGAGATAAAGACAGACAGTGAGAGATCTTCCACCTGCTGGTTTACTCCCCAAATGGCCACAATGCCCAGGACTGGGCCAGGCTGAAGCCAGGAGCCTAGAACTCCGTCCAGGTCTCCCACATGGGTTCCAGGGGCCCAAGTTCTTGGCCGTCTTCTGCTGCCTTCCTTGGCACATTAACAGGGAGCTGGATCAGAATTGGAGCAGCTGGGACTCAAACCAGTGGTCATATGGGATGCCAGCATCACAGGTGGTGGCTTAACCTGCTGTACCACAACACTGGGCCCTTTGAAAATGAAATCCGTGCATTTTTTTTTTCATAATATCCTTTTTGCCATGAACTTTCAAAAGGCCTCTTACAGGCATGAATTTCAAAATGCTTTTTCACTGAAATAAACTTTTAACTCCATTTTCCATGAACTTGATGAAGTGGTCTTTTTTTTTTTTTTTCAAGAAATTTTTTATTTAAGGAATACAAACTCCATGCATTTAACTAGTACAACTTTAGGAACATAGTGATTCTTCCCACCATACCTGCCCTCCACTCTTCTTCCTCCTCCCTCTCCTATTTCCATTCTTATTTTTTACTGAGATCTATTTTCAATTAACTTTATACACTTATGGATAACTCTATACTTGTAGAGAATTCATGAAATAAAAAAAAGAAAACTGTTCCTCAACAGTTAAGAGCAAGGGCTGTTCAAAATCATTGCATCTCAAAGTGTCAATTTCGCTTCTATAGATTACACTTTAGGTGCGCTATTTGTTATCACAGATCAGGGAGAATATATGGTATTCGTCCTTTTCAGGTTGGCTTATTTCACTAAAAATGATGTTTCCCAGTTTCATCCATTTTGTTGCAAATGACAGGATTTCATTTTTTTGCCATTGTGTAGTATTCCATGGTGCACATATCTAATAATTTATGTAGTCTTCAGCTGCTGGACATTTGGGTTGATTCCATATCTTAACTATTATGAATTGAGCTGCAATAAACATAGGGGTATAGATAACTCTTTCATATGCTGATTTCATTTCTTTTGGGTAAATTCCCAGGAGTGGCATGGCAGGGTCACATGGTAGGTCTATATTCAGGTTTCTGAGGTCTCTCTAAAATGTCTTCCACAGGGGTTACACCATTTTACATTCCCACCAACAGTGGACTTTTTCCCCACATCCTCGCCAGCATCTGTTGTTTGTTGATTTCTATATGAAAGCCATTCTAATGGGGGTGGGGGGTAAAATGAAACCTCATTGTGGTTTTAATTTGCATTTCCCTGATGGCTAGTGATCCTGAACATTTTTCATGTGTCTGTTGGCCATTTGGATTTCCTCTTTTGAAAAATGCCTGTTAATGTCCTTTGCCCATTTTTCAACCAGGTTTTTTATTTTTCTGTTGTGGAGTTTCTTGATCTCTTTATATATTCTGGATATTAATCCTTTATCCATTGCATGGTTTGCAAATAACTTCTCCAATTCTGTCTGTTGCCTCTTCACTTTGCTGAGTGTTTCTTTTGCAGTGCAGAAGCTTCTCAATTTGATGCAATCCCATTTGTCAATTTTGGTTTTGATTATGTGTGCCTCTGGGGTCATTTCCAAGAACTCTATGCCTTACCATTTTCTTTCCGGTTTTCTCTAGTGTTTTCTAATAACTTGATGGTATCATGTCATAGATTTAGGTCTTTGATCCGTTTTGAATGAAGTAGTCTCACAATGAAAATTTAAAACTGTTTCTCTCTATAGTTATTCTTGGGATAGCCATACCCCATATTGTAGTGTCTGGGTTCGAGTCCTACCTCTGATTCCTAAAAGATTCCTGCTAACATGTACCCTAGGAGGCAGCAGTGATAGCTCAAGACCTTGGGTTCCTGACACCCATGCATGGGACCCAGATGGAATTCTGTTCAGGCTCCTGACCTCAGCCTGGCCCAGCACTAGCTATTACAGGCATTTATGGCATGAACCAGCAGGTGGGAAATCAATCAGTCTTTCTCTCTCCTTGTCTGTGTGTATCTCTCTCCCCCTCCCCCTCCCCCTCCCCCTCCCCTCTCCCTCTCCCTCTTCCTCTCTACTATTGGCACTGTGCCATTCAAAAAAATAGGTTAAATTAGATTCAACAATATATCTTATTTATCCAGATATACCTCAACTATTACTATTGCAACATGTAATCAATATTAATGTTATACATTCCTTTTCTAAAGCTAAAGCTTCAACATCTGCTGTGTATTTGTACTTAGAACACAACTCAAATTAGCTTCATTTCATGGAATAACTGTATGTGGCTCCAGCATACCCTGTTGAACCATGCAGATCTGAATAGCAGGAGACCTGGGAAAAGAGAACAGAAGGAGGAAGAGGGGCAGAGAAGTAAAATAATTTAAGAAAACTTCCAAGGACTGGAGGATACTAATTTCCAAACTGACAAGGCTCTCAGAAAAGCCTGGTTAGATCTGGACCTAGGCCCTTCCCCATGATATTTCAAATGACTCTGAGAAACCTTGGGAGCCCTCTAAGAGAAAAGAAAAAAAAGGTTACAATGAAGGCTACCAACTTGGCTTCAGATTTCTCAGCCACAAAGGAGAGAGGAGACAGTGGGTCAGTGCTATTAAAATTCTGAAGGGAGAGACCACCTAACTTTTAACTCTGTTAACGAGCCAAAATACCCGCCAACGTAGAGAGTAGAAAAAGGGCAACTCCCAAATATCCAAATCTCAAAAAATTTGCCTGCCACGCTGTCATCCTCAGAAAGCATCTGGAGAATGTGAAACATCAGACAACCAACAACCAGAGACTGAGGAAAATCTGAGTTGTGAGAAATAGGAGAAGGGTGGAAGGAGTCCCTGTGAACCAGGGCTGGAGACCGGGCAGTTCAGATAGAACAGGTCAGAAAGAGCCAAGGAGAGCTTCATCAAGAAACTGCAGCAGGCAGGGTACCTGTGGCAGCAAGTGAAACGTGAGAGAAAAATCCAAGGTTGTAAACTCTGGAAGCTGAGCAGGTCAAGTAGGGGAGTGGTGAAAGCTAGCTCATCTCTCAGTGTGCAATTTATATACAGTTCTTAAATGTGAGAAGGGGAAATCAAGGGCATATTATCTGGAAAGTGGTTACTCCTGGGGTGGGAAAATAAAGAGAAAAAAAGATCTGCTCTTTTCTTAATAAACTTTGTAAAATTACGTGTAAGTCCAAAATGTATGTATGTTACTTACTTAGAAAGAAAGATGGGTGGTAGTAGGTCTGGGTGAACGAAGGACCTCCAGCAGGCCCTTGCTAACGCGCATCCTTACCTCCTAGCATCGAGTACTGGTTCCGCTGCATGGATGTGGATGGAGACGGGGTACTTTCCATGTACGAGCTGGAGTACTTCTACGAAGAGCAGTGTGAACGCATGGAAGCCATGGGCATCGAGCCTTTGCCCTTCCATGACTTGCTGTGCCAGATGCTTGACCTGGTGAAGCCAGCCAGTGATGGTGAGCCCAAGCTAAGGCCGTTTGCACCGTGTCCCTACTTACCCAAGTGGTGCACCTACTCCTAGATTGTCCCCCACTCTTTCACCTTCCAGAGTCTTCCCAGTGGGGTCCCCAAGTACTGAAGAGCTTCACCTTGACTTTAGTGTAAAAGTAGCATTGATGGACTTTTCCCTAGAGACAGAGTGCCTGGGGGTGAAGGGTTAGAGATCAGGAGGGACTACTTGATGGGTACAGAGTTTCCCCTTGCAGTGATGGTTGTATGACATTGAGAGCAGACTAAAAACAGACTTGTACACTTTTTAAATGGTACATTTTGTTATGTGAACTTTACTATGATGTGAATGTGGCTTTTTTTTTAAAATGTGCTTTTACATATCAGTGAAACTTTTTTTCTCTTGCCAACAATGTTGCTGATGAAATCACCAGATCTGTTTGTTTGTATGCAGGCAAAATAACTCTGCGAGATCTGAAGAGATGCCGGATGGCTCACATCTTCTATGACACTTTCTTTAACCTGGAGAAATACTTAGACCATGAACAGAGAGATCCCTTCGCCGTCCAGAAGGTACTAGTGTAATCTTGACTTCTTTTGGGGGCTGCAGTATCAGGGGCTGTGTGCTACATATTACGATGGTGTCTGCATGCAGGAATCCCCGTATATGCAGAGGTGACATTTAAACCATTTAACAAAATCCAGAGAAGAATAAACACCTGCAGCACATCTGTCCCCGCAGCTAATGCTCACATTTAGATAATAAGGTATATGTGCCTTCCACACTTGCATTGTATAGCCTGCGCATGTAAATACACATTAGAAACTAGTGACAGGGCATAAAGCATAAAGCCGCCACCTTCAACGCCGGCAGCCCAGGTGGGCTCCAGTTTGGGTCCCTGCTGCTCCACTTCCAATCCAGCTCCCTGCTGATGGCCTGGGAAAGCAATGGAAAATGGCCCAAGTCCTTGGGCCTCTGCACTCACATGGGAGACCCGGAAGAAGCTCCTGGCTCCTGGCTTTGGCCTGGCCCGGCCACTATTGTTGCACCATTTGGATAGTGAACCCGTGGATGGAGTCTGTCCTCCCTCTCTAACTCTTTCAAGAAAATAAATAAATTTTTAAAAGAAAGAGTGAAGAAACTAGTGACAAAAAAAAAAGAGTTTTGAAAAAAAATTTGTTCTTCTGACTTTTAAAAATATATCAGTAGGGGCCGGTGCCACGGCTCAATAGGCTAATCCTCCGCCTTGCGGCGCCGGCACACCAGGTTCTAGTCCCGGTCGGGGTGCCGGATTCTGTCCCGGTTGCCCCTCTTCCAGGCCAGCTCTCTGCTGTGGCCTGGGAGTGCAGTGGAGGATGGCCCAAGTGCTTGGGCCCTGCACCCCATGGGAGACCAGGATAAGCACCTGGCTCCTGCCTTCGGATCAGCGCGGTACGCCGGCAGCAGCGCACCAGCCGCGGCGGCCATTGGAGGGTGAACCAACGGCAAAGGAAGACCTTTGTCTCTGTCTCTCTCTCACTGTCCACTCTGCCTGTCAAAAAATAAATAAATATATATATATATCAATAGGCACATCTGTCCTAGAACCCAGATTGGCCTTGATTTAATTTATCATTCATTTCCAGTGTTCCATGAGAAATGACTTTCCTCCTTGTAGTGAAAGCTAGCTCTACACACATAACCTCCAGATAACGTAACGCTTTGTCAAGTGTTTCCCGGTAGCTGTGTGTGTCTGTCAGTTTTAAATGTTGTTCTACATCAGAGATGAGTGCCTTCTTCATACATAAAACTGGTGGACCTTCAGTAAATTCTGTATGGAATGATCCCGCCCACACCCATCCCTTAAAAAAAGAAGAATACCACCACTGGTTCTACCATTCCCCTATTAAAGAAGCAAAATGACGTTTACAGGAAAGGACTTACTTCAGTTGATTGGCAGTACAACTGTAAGAAGCTTCTGCAGTCTTCTTTTCTTCCACATATTGCATAACTTCTTGACCTGAATAGTAGTAAGAATATCAAGATGACCTCTAAAAACAAATCCCCTGCAGCTGATCATGGGACAAACCAAGGTGCATGATCACTGGCCTAAAATCATTATTTTATTTCACTGAATTTGACATGCTACATTATTATATATGCTTCTAAGCAAAAACTAAAACAAATATTGCCAGTTAAGTCCAGTGCAATTTCAGGAATGTTAAAAGGGTGGAGAGGGGCAGGCCTTACGGCCGTGGGTTAAGCCACACCTTGGGACACTTAGGTCCTCCATTTCCTCCTCCAGTGTAGCCACCTGATCATGTGCCCGGGAGGCAGCAGATGATGGCCCAAGTACTTAGGCTCCTGCCACCCGCTGGAGACTACTCAGGTGGAGATCCCAGTTCACTGGTGTTGGCCTGGCCTGGCCCAGCCAGGTTATTGTGGCCTCTGGGGAGCTGAAGCAGCAAATAGAAGTGCGTGCTCGCTCGCTCTTTCTCTCTGCCCCCTTCCTCTCTTCCCTTCCCCCCACCGTTCATATAAATAAATAAATACTTGAGAGGTGGAAAAAAAGGACCTTAAAGTAGCTTAACTATAATGATTCACACATTGTGTGGCCAGTGGCCAGTATTTAGGTGCTTACGTTCATCTACACACAACTGACCCTAGGCGCTAAGGGCAACACTAATTCATTTTCCACTTGGAAAGACAATTTCCCTGAAACACATAATAGAAGACACTGCCCTGGGCCAGTGACACCAGCATCCCATGTGGGCGCTGGTTCGTGTCAGGCTGCTGCCCTTCAAATCCAGCTCCCTGCTAATGGCCTGGGAAAGCAGAAGAGGATGCCCCACGTGATTGGGCCCCTGCCACCCCGTGGAAGACGTGGATGAGGCTCCCAGCTCCTGGCTTTGGCCTGTCTCAGCCCTGGCCGTTGCAGCCATCTGGGGAGGAAACCACCAGATGGAAGTTCAGTCTCGACCTTACGCTTGCTCGCTCTCTCTCTGAATTACTCTATCAAATAAATCAGTAAATCCCTGTTTAAAGCAAAGAAAATAATGCCCATATACAGAATGGAAATGGAGTAGCCTTTCTCCACTTTCTTTTATTTGTATCAATTTTTACCTTTAAATTTTACTTTTCTTGGGACAAGCTTTTGACATAGTGATTATGACACTGCTTAGGGTGCCCACATCCCAAATCAGAGTTGCTGGGTTCAAATCCTGGCTCCTCAAACCAGTTCCGGCTTCCGCTGACGTCCACCTGGGAGGTGGTGCTCAGGTGGTTGGCTCTCTGCCACCCACGTGGGATACACGGACGGAGTTCACAGAGCTCCAGGTTCCTGGCTTTGGCCTGGCCCAGTCTCAGGTATTGCAGACCAACAAACGGGAAATCTCTTTTTCTGTCTCAAATAAAAATTTTATATTGTTTTTAATTATAAATTTTACTTTTCTGTATAAGAGGCAATTATTGGTATTTGTTGTGATCTGCAAAGAACATTAGCAGTTAGAAAATGCTTATAAATTCCGGGCCCTGAGTTGAAGAGCTACAGAGACAACAAAGACAGAAGAGCCAAAGCATATAGCGAGGAGGGAGTGACCGGGAGCGAAGGGCTGTTCCCAGGAGGGGATCACAGTGGTGTCTGAGCTGCTTTATTTTTAAGAATGTTGTGTTGTTTTCTAAGTTTTATTTATTTACTTTTATTTGAAAGGCAGAGCAACGTTAAGAGATCTTTCGCTCTCCAACTCCCTGTAACAGCCTGTTCTGGGCCAGTCCTGGAACTGTAAACACATCACCCACAAGGGTGATGGAAATCAACTTCTTTTTTTTTTTTTTTTCCTTTTTTTTTAATATTGATTTATTCATGTATTTAAGAGAGAGGGAAACAGAGCATCCCTCTGGTTCACTCCCCAAGTGGCCACAACAACCCAGGCAGGGCCAGGAACTCTCTCCAGGTCCTGTACATGGTGGCAGGGATCCCAGTGCTTGGGCCATCATCTGCTGCCTCTCCAGGTCCAATAGCAGGAAGCTAGATCAAAAGCAGAGCAGCCAGGACTTGCACCAGGACTCTGATAGGGCATACCAGCATCGCAATCAATGGCTTCAAACCTGCACATTAGCCCCAGGGACCTTGGCAGGGTGTTTCATTATCAGGAAACTGGACAGGAAATGGAAAAGGGACAGAGACTCAGGCACTCTGGTGTGGCACACAGGCATCCCACACAGCATTGTAACCACTGTGCCAAACACCTAACCCTGAGCTGGCTTTGAAAGAAACAACAGAAATGTGCAAGAGAAAAGGAAACATTTCAGGTGGGCACATGCAAGCCACAAGTCACTGCAGATAGCTACTGTGCCAGGCAAGGAGGACTGGAGAAAGGCCTCTGATTAGAAGACTAAGGACTCAAGGCCGGCACTGTGGTGCAGGGGGTAAAGCCGCCGCCTGCAGTGCCGGCATCCCATATGGGCACCAGCTGGAGTCCCAGCTGCTCCTCTTCCTATCCAGCTCCCTGCTATGGCCTGGGAAAGCAGCAGAGGATGGCCCAAGTCCTTGGGGCCCTGCATCCACATGGGAGACCTGGAAGAAGCTCCTGGCTTCACATTGGCACAGCTCCCGCCGTTGCAGCCATCTGGGGAGTGAACCAGCAGATGGAATAGACTCTCTGTCTCTCTCTGCCTCTCTCTTTCTCCCTCTCTGTCCCCCTCTGCCTCTCTGCCTCTCTCTAACTCTGCCTTTCAAATAAAAAATCTTTAAAAAAAAGAGAAGACTAAAGAATCTCAACCTCAGATATCTCACAGTTCCCAGTTTTGTGGTTTGAGTTGTAGAAAATCACCTTAAGAGTATTGCCTTAGCACCGCTTTCAACACGTTGAAATGAAACAGCTCGCAGATGGGTTTTCAGCTGTACACAACATTGCTGTGACCTGCCTCCAGTTCTCTGATCACTCTTGTATCCTGCGCTGTGCCCTTATGCAGGACGTGGAGAACGACGGGCCTGAGCCCTCCGACTGGGACAGGTTTGCCGCTGAGGAGTACGAGACTCTGGTTGCCGAGGAGTCTGCCCAAGCACAATTCCAAGAAGGGTGAGTCGGTCTGGCCGTGACTGGAGCCTCTCCAGCAGGGGAGCCCGTGTCAGGATATGTAAACCACCTTTCATTAGAGACAGAACTGGTTTAGCCAACTAACAGTTAAGTGAATATTTTCCCTGGGAATTCTCTCCTGCCTTCCTCATAAAGTCTTCTCGTAACCCGAGTCCTTTAATGAAGGCAAACCTTTCACTGGAAAGCAAGATCACTGAGTACCACACCACTGCTCCGGTGATGTCAGTAAGTCCTGCAAGTGAGAGAGGAAGCTACAGCAATGCAACTTCTTTAAAAAAAAAAAAAAAATGATCACATTTAGAACCAATGTCTATCAGGCATGGTTTTGTACATCCAGTGCTGGATAAGAAGTAACTTTTGAAATATGATTCAGACATAAAAAAGAATGAAATTCTGTCATTTGCAACAAAATGGATGCAACTGAAAACCATTTATACTTGGCAAAATAAGCCAGTCCCAAAAAAATAAATACCATGTTTTCCCTGATCTTGAGTAATTAATAGAGTGCCCAAAAATGCAGTGTATAGGAATGAAATTGACACTTTGAGATCAATGATTGTTTATGGCCCTTGTCTCTACTGTTGAAGAACAGTGTTTTTTTTTCTTATTATTTGCTGAACTCTTAGTGTAGGGTTAATTTTATGAGTATAAAGTAAGCTGAAAGTAGATTATTATAAAAATTGAGAAGCAGTAAGGGGGAGGAGAAAGGATGGGAGTGTGGGAAGGAGGAGGCGAGGGTGGGAAGTATCACCATATTCCTCAGTCTGTATATATGAAATACAAGAAATGTGTATACCTTAAATAAAAGTTTCAACCCTTAAAAAAAGAAAAAGAAATAACTTACACACCTAATTTATATTAGTCAGGATGAAATTCCTTAAAGGAATCATATAAGAAATTAGATTATCCAGGAACTTCAGTTTGGAACATTTCAATTTGCTGACTTTTCCATCATCTTCTAGTGACTGATTTAGCAATTCCTCTAATTCTTCCTTAGAAATTGTTTCTCCAAGGCCCTCAATCCTTATCATTAACATAATCCATTCATATAAGATTCCGAGAAACAAAAGAATAAATAGTAAAACCTTTCCTACTACCCAGTTCTCCCCAGACGCAGCCAGCGTCATTTCCTAGCAGAGGCTCACAGGCACTCTTCACAGACATATGCACATACATATACATCCCTTTCTTTCTTCTCGTACACAAATAGCATCGTGTAATTCACTGGCACCTTTTCTCACACTTTATACACTGGAGATTATTCCACAGATGTGTCTGAGTGATAATTTACAGCTGTGTAGTTTCGCACTGTGTAGTTGGGTCATTATTTTAGTCTTCAGTGACGTATTTCTAATACTTCACTATGAGAAATCAGAGTTGTGCGGCCAATCATCTCATGTTACACCTGTCATTTTATGCATATGTAGGATGAAGCATAACAGGTAAGCATATAGAAACTAGACATTTGAAAACAATTTGCAAAAAATGTAGTAGGGTTTTAGAGAAGCCAACAAAAAAGTGATACAGATGCCCAGAGCTAACAACGGTCAGGAAGCCATGTCCATTCCTCCACGTGAAGTAACAAGGAAGTGAGACTGTCAGCAGAACCCAAAGAGACAGGGTCATCTGACAGGAAGTGTGACCTTCGGTAATGGGACTCAGCCAGCCTTTGGCAGTGAAGCCAGAGGGAGCAGCTAGAAACAAGACCTAACCTGATATCCTCCAGTGTGCCTACGGGGCCTCCTGCTGGCCTCGAATCAGAAACCAGAAGAGAAGGGGTCAGCTAATCGTGGACCTGAAGGGATGAAGAAAAGCAGGTCCAGCTGGGAGGTACTGACGAGCAGTCCTCCACACAGAGCACCCTGCCACTGCCTCTCCAGTGAGGTCTCCAGCGACTGTTTTGAGGGTGCCGAACAGGCCATCACCAACCACTTTTTTTTTAATCTGGAGATTATTTAATCTGCCTAGGCACAAAACAGGGGTTTCATTTTTTTACCTCAATAACCTGGAGACTCTTAAAATGATTGTCTTGATCATGAGTGCATTAGACGGGAAGACAGGAGACTGAATGCTCTAGCATGGAGCTTCCATACCAGGAGCGAGGGTCTGTTGATCTTGAGAAATCTGCATTGCTACAGTGGAGACATGCAGATGTTTGTAACAGGGAAGAACTGGAGAGCATTTAAGTACCTGGTAGATTAATGAAGTTGTATCACATGTGCACAGGGTAATCCCACACAAGCACTGAAATCACTTTGTGGGTATGTGTTTGACTTTCATGAAGAAAAAACAGGGACAAAGAAGAATGCTTTGGAAGGGCAACTAAAATATAATAGAAAAGGACAAAAATAGAGTATCCAAAAGAAAACCAGTCAGTTACATGGAAGGAAAACAAAAGGGATCGAATTTATATGTATTAGGCAATAAAATAAATGGAATGTAAAATATTCAAAAATAATACAAAAGCTTTGGGGAATAAAGGAACACCTGAGGACAAAAGGTCAGAAGTCACAGCATATCCAGGCGATAAATAGTGCTTGGTCTCGGATGTGCACTGCGACTTCAAGGAGGAAGTTAAAGGTTTGCTTTACTCTTTTTATTTTTTAAAAATACAAGTAACCAGACAAGGGGGAGAAAAACCAGTTTTGCTTCCGGAACCTCCACAGTAAAATTAAACACTGAAGGACATGGAAAACAATGTTTACAATCTTCCCAGAGGAGGAAGCTCCATACCCAGCAGTTTTATATTAATCCAGGATGACACTCAAGCATGAAGGCACAGATGGATATTTTTCACATGTAAGAACCAAAGGTAACAGCAGCACCCATGAGCTCTTTTTTTTTAAATTATTATTTATTTGACAGATAGAGCTAGACAGTGAGAGAGAGAGAGAGAGAGAGAGAGAGAGAGAGAGAGAGAGAAAGGTCTCCCTTCCGTAGGTTCACTCCCCAAATGGCTGCCACAGCTGATGCTGCACCGATCCCAAGCCAGGAGCCAGGTGCCTCCTCCTGGTCTCCCATGTGGGTGCAGGGGCCAAGCACTTGGGCCATCCTCCACTGCCCTCCCGGGCCACAGGAGAGAGCTGGACTGGAAGAGGAGCAACCGGGACAGGATCCGGTGCCCATATGGGATGCCAGCGCCGCAGGAGGATTAACCAAGTGAGCCACGCCACCAGCCCACCGTGAGCTCTTTTTAAAAGCCAATCATAGTTGCCCACACTGTGGCTCAGTGGATTAAAGCTGCAACCTGCCGCGGTGGCGTCCCAGACGGACACCAGTTAGACTCCCGACTGCTCCACTTCCAATCCAGCTCCCTGCTAACATGCCTGGGAAAGCAGCAGAGGATGACCCAAGTCCTTGGGCCCCTGTACCCACATGGGAGACTGGGAGGAGGCTCCTGGCTCCTGGCTCCTGGCTTTGAATCGGCGCAGGTCCAGCCATTGCGGCCGTCTGGGGAGTGAACCAATAGAAGGAAGACCTTTCTCTGCCTCCACCTCTCACTGTCTGTAACTCTACCTCTCAAATAAATGAATAAAATCTTAAAAAAAAAAAAAAAAAACTATGTTAAAGAAGAAACCATGGGGAAATTTAAAATTCTCCTCAATGAGAACAAATGAAAATATATTGAGTGCTTTACAGTGCTTAGAGGAACACTTATGGCATAGAAAAGTCTAACATCAGTGATAAAGCTTCCACATTGAGCTAGAAAAAGAAGAGCAAACAAGTCTCAGAATAGTAAGAAGTAAGTAATAAAGATCAGACTAGAAATCCATGAAATACAAAATGAGAGGAATTAAACCAAAGGTTGATTCTTTGGAAAGAGGGACAAGGGGAGATAAACCTTGAGCTAAACCTAGCAGAAGGTGAGAGAGGAATGGGAGCATACATTAACAAAATCAAGAATGAAAGAAGCAGTATCACAATAGACATACAGAAGTTAAGAGTTATATTATGAATAACTTTATCTCAATAAATTTCACTTAGATGTAGTGGGACAAAACTATGTAAAAGCTCAAAATGACCAAAACTAACAAAAATGGACAATCAGAGCAGATACATCAAGTAAAGACTCCAAATCAGTTATTCAAAGTGTTCCCCACATGAAAGTACAAATCCAAATGACTTCGCTCATGACTTCTGTCAGATATTTAAGGGAAAGGAATACAAATCTCTCATAAATACTTTGAAAAAATAAAGGAAGGAAAGCGTTCACACTCATTTTCTTTATACAATAGCCAAGTATTACCCTAATACCGAAGCCAGACAAAACACATCATTAGAAATGAAAAATGTAAACTTTTAAAATATTAGTATATCAAATCTAACAATATATAAAAAAGATTCTACACCATGACTAAGTAGAATTTATCCCAGGAATGACTTAACATTTGAATTTTTAAAATTTATTTATTTATTTTTTTGGACAGGCAGAGTTAGACAGTGAGAGAGACAGAGAGAGAGAAAGGTCTTCCTTTTTCTGTTGGTTCACCCTGCAGTGGCCGCTATGGCTGGCGTGCTGTGCCAATCCGAAGCCAGGAGCCAGGTGCTTCCCCCTGGTCTCCTGTGCGGGTGCAGGGCCCAAGCACTTGGGCCATCCTCCACTGCCCTCCCGGGCCACAGCAGAGAGCTGGACTGCAAGAGGAACAACCGGGACAGAATCCGGTGCCCCAACCGGGACTAGAACCAGGGTGCCGGCGCCGCAGGCGGAGGATTAGCCAAGTGAACCGCGGCACCGGCCTTAACATTTGAATTTAACATTAATGTTAAATGCTGACTTAACATTCAAAAATAAATTAATGTAAAATCACTATAGGATAATTAAAAAAAAAAAAAACCTGCTCATTGATAAAATCTCACATCCATTCACAATACTCACCCAAGTAAGGATAGAAAGACATGTCCTCAACAGGATAAAGGGAGTCTCTGGTTAGCATCACACTGTGGTGAAAACGGAATACCTTCCCCTAAGATCAGTAACCAGG